CAAGGATCTGCTCTCCCGTCATTTTCTATAAGGAGGTTACACTACTATTGGAAGGGGGTGTGCTGGATGGGGAATGCCAATTTATTCACGTTCGTTCGCTCAAAACATTACGTCCATAGATGTTCTGGTCGGACGCTCCAGCCTCCCTAGTATCAACGCCTTTATAAAACCCATAATTAAAAGCGAGCTTAATATACTCAGTAGTTGGCCGGAACACGGGGTTGATCTTGCAAGCAATTTTGACAATAACTTGCATGTAATGCGAAAAAAGTAAGAGTGATACTAAGAAGGTATTGATAAGGAATATTATCAGTAAATGCTTCACTGAATCATAGTTTAAATTATTATTCCTAAATCAGAAGGAAATTTCATTCAAACCTGACGCGCTTCTAACACGCTATTTAGAAGTGTGTTTGATGAATGCGGAGTACACCGAGTTGCACCAGCATTCCTGTATGCTTTTTTTTATTCTTGATAATAAATACCGTGATAGATATAATTCAGTTCCCCAAAAGAACTAGTAGAATATGCTGAGTTTCGAATAAAACGTGAAGACAAGTTTTGCAAACGTGTGGAACCCTGCAAGTCGGTCACTCACAGGCAACGAAACGAAAACATTGTTTATATGACTTATGCATTCTAGAAAGTTCATACTGGCTTCCCCTACATACAGTAATTGATCTCATGAAATATTAGCCGAAGTTCTGAAATGCGCTTTCGATTAGGGTGGAGTGCCTAGGCGGGGTTGTAATAACAACTATCATGCGGCATAGTATTTTAATTTTTTCGGCCTTTGTACATGTTTCTTTGCGAAATACGATAAAAAAATGCACTGGGTAATAAATGACTACTTATGTAGTATGCGTTTCTCACACTGATTTCAGCCGGCATTTTAAATTAAAATTACATATATGCAAGAAATATGCTTCCTTTTTTCATTTGTAGAAAGTTACGTCGTCTTTGCGCTTTTTGCTCGAAGTGTGTATTTAGGTTTTGAAAAGGTTTCCCAATTCCCGATTAATTCTGAGGCAGATCATCTGTTGCGATTTCAGTCAAGAGGGAATATGGTTTCGGGTAAGGAAAATCATATACTCGTCTATGTGTTTGAGAAGATACCATATGGAGGATTCATAAAAATTTGTAAATTATGCGAACCATGTTGTATATTTCATGAGGAACATCACTAAAGGGGCGGTTACGATGCTGTATAATTGGACATTTCAGGGTCTTGCAAAACCGCGTAATGAGAAACTTTGTTAAGACCGAAAGGTACTTTTTCTTTGAGCATAACACGTAGAGACGACGTGATTTGAGATAAAGTAAGCAAGAAGACATATTTTTGCATGTGTTCTTTGAAACGTATTTGAATTTAAAAGAGCCTTGAAAATCAATGTAAAAAAGACATAATAATTAGGTAGTTATATTTTACCGAGTGCGGTTTCTACAGGAGGTCAAAAAGGGGAGCATTTAAAAGTCAGGATCTTGGCCACCCCGAAACATAGGATTATGTCGCTTGGCGGTCAATATTGCAGACGCACCTAAGTAATCCTTCCTAACTAAAAGCAAATTTTAGAATTTCGGCCAACATTTCATGAGACCGGTCGCCCACTGTAGTTCAGCCGGCAGAGTAGCGCTTGGGACGAAGTAGTTGGTTACATTCAGCTTACAGTCACAGGATTCTGTGTTATCTGGATTATTTAGTCTCCAAAATGGTTTTTAAGTATGAAATGTGCGGACAGAATCACATAGGCTCGTTGGGTTTCCCTTAAACCTTGATAGAAGAACCTGTCATCGAAACAAAACCGGCCTCTGTAATTCTCATTCATGATAAAGCGGTTCACCCGCCTACGTACATGACGCAAATAACTATCGAAAAATTATATATGCCTTATACAATCGAGTGTGGTACACTTTACTGTAGCAGTAAAATGTTGGTCCAGCAATTTAAAGATTCCACTTTTGTTTTTTTGCTATTTGGTTGACCCTAATGTGTACTTTGAAATTTGGTCTTTAATGTTTGTCCTGATTTTTTACTGGCATGCTTGGAGATCGCATGGATTCGTCCGATAATTTACTTGTGTACTACAATTTAAAACATGGAGCTAAACTTTACGATGTCAACAGGTTCGGTAATTCTCCGGATCACTGTTTTCGTTTATCGTCTGTTATTTCTCTAGGGCCTGAGTAAGTAATCAGGCTTAGTGTGATCTAAATTGAGATAAAGTATAATTTCCCCCGCCGGAAAGGAAGTAGTGACGGAAGTTTGGTCACACACTACGTTTCTAGAGCCCGTAATTCAACAAGTACACGTCCCTTTCATGCACTCTAGTCATGCTCGATTTCCTAATAAGCTTGAGGTTAGCGTACACCTTATTTCAGTCTTGATGTCAAGCTTAAATTTAAAGAGTGGGGAACCTTGGAAGCATTTTCAGCGCTTCCTATCCATTATGTGCTTAAATTCCAATGAAAACCAGATCTCAGAAAATAGTATAAGGATCATCATGTACGTACGCACTCCGAAATCTGGAAATGACGCCCTTTGAGTATGGCCGAAAACTGGTGTGATCACAATGAGTTGCGATCTGCGTCAGTCGGAGGTGAAATCCAACCCCCCCCCCACCTCAATATTGCGATTGAAAGTGCACCAAATCGTATGGTCTCATTGCGTCCTTAAGGGATTTCAGGCCCTACCTGAAATCCAAAGTCAGTCGTATCTCTGCATCATTTTCCGTACTCAGACAAGGCTGTTTTTTCGTTGACTACCAGTCAGCTGTCATGACAGCAGAAATCATCAGTCATCCCCTAAATATACAGACAGGTCTCGACTTTTAAGGAAATATTTCGGAATCCTCAAACATTTGAGACGTCGCAAAGAAACCTTTTACAAACTAGGTCAGCGTGACAAGGTGAAGTATATCAATGTTTCAATAAAGAACGAAATTGCCAGACTTAACGGTTTATTCGTTAGTCAACTTTTTTCTACTTCATCCACCCCCTCCTCTCCTTTTCGTTCTGCTGAACTGTGGAGGAATCTCAAGCGTCTCACTGGTCAACGTAATATACTTGAACCCATTGACGTAGATTTAAACTCTTTAAATCGGAATTTTATCTGTACTTCTAACGACTCCACTTCTCGCCCAAACGAAATTTACATACCACCGTGTGACTTCACTCCTGTGACTGTGACAACAGTGGAACACCATCTCAAAAAGATTCGCGAGTCAACGGCGGCTGGGCCGGACGGTGTCTCTCCTTTTCTCCTTAAGTCTTGCTGTTCGCAGATAGCTCCCGTCTTGACCCACCATAGAGTCCAAGATTCCTGACGCCTGGCGTACAGTAAGAATTACTCCAATCCCTAAAAACCTTTAACTTTTGCTCCTAAATCTTTCCGTCCTATTGCCTGCTCTTCTGTACTCCTGAAACTTACTGAACGAGTTGCATTAGATTCCCTTAAGTCCTCCTCTGTCAATTTTTCTGATCCTCTACAATTTGCATACAAGGCAAAGCGTAGCACCTTGGATGCTGTTGCTTTAGTTGTTCATTCAGCTTTGAGAGACTTAGACAAGGGATGCCGTGCATATGCATGTGCTTTTCTCGACTACTCATCCGCCTTCAACACTATTCCGCGCCAACTCCTCCTGACCAAAGCAGCTGCGTGCGACACTCCGAGCTGGGTTGTCTCTTGGCTTAGAGATTATTTTTCCTCCCGCACTCAGTTTGTCCAGTCGGGAAGGAGAAAATCTTCTATTCTTCCAAACAATTGTGGAGTTCTACAAGGTTCTATCTTATCCCCTGATCTTTTCTCCCTACATACTGATGATTTGAGATCGCCAAACGACTGCCTGTATGTTAAATATGCCGATGACATGGTCGTAGGCCACCCACTCAAAAACCTGACTCACCTACAGTCTTTAAAGGATGGCTTAGACCACGTCTCCGCATGGTCTTCGAATAATGGACTCCTACTCAACAATCAGAAATCAGTACAGTGTGTGTTTCGATTGCGACCCTCTCCCATTCCTGAACATTTGGATATTCTTCCCAATGAGGTATCTTCTTTCCGGTACCTAGGTGTTACTTTATCCTCAAATCTCTCTTTCTCTCTTCATATAGAAACCCTTTTAACAAAAATTCAAAAACTTGTTTATTATATTCGTCGTCTACGTTCATACCACACACCCCAGTCCTTAATCTGGCGATTCATAGATGGCTGTATTCTTCCACTCATTCGTTATTGTTCTCCAGTTATTTTTCCAGCTTTACTTAAAAAAGATCTAATTATTTTTAAGCGTGTCATTCGAATGCTCGCCTCTGCTGCTGGTGTTTCCTATCATCTTTTAGTTGATATCATCGTGCAGCGACATTTCAACTCGGTGGAGCAATTCGCTGACCGAATTCTGAATGACACCGTCCATCCCCTTCATAATGAGTTAATGGCTGCGAAATCCTTACGCCCCACGCGTCGATGCTTCCGCCACATCCCTTGCCGCACTTCGGCCTATCGGAATTCCATACTGCCATTTCTAGCCCGGTATCTCACCTGCAAAGATGTTGAAAAACAAAAACTAAAACTCGATCTTGCACCTTAAAGTCCTTTTTTCTTCATATATAATCATGTCCACCTGTCTGTCCAAAAACCTGTTAATCTCTATGGTAATCACTGTGTACTGGAGAACCGTTTTTGCTGAAAGTTTTGAAAGTTATTTTCAAAATAAAGCAGTCCTCTCTCTCTCTCAATCCTTCAGGATTATAATATGGAAGTAGGTTTAACAACGTTGTATTTTGAGTAAAGTTAGGGGTTAAGAAAGAAGAAAACTCCAAGAAATTTTAATACAAATGAATACAAAACAATGGAAGAGAAAGTTTACCACCTGGGGGATGGGAAAATTACTGACGTATTAGGAGGACATGTGGCGCGCGAAACAGGTAGAAGAGAAAAAGATTATGGAACTAGGGGGGTTAACAGGGGCTTCACTGCAGAAGGCCTTCATGAACAAGGTTTATTTGAGCGGTTTCCTCTCCTCTTTTTCCTTATCGTCGCAGCAGCCGCAGCAACAGAAGATGCCCTTCAAGCAGCTGGCTATGCCCGAGCAACAGGGACAGCAGTAGCAGCAGCAGCAAAGAGCAATGAACAAGACAACGATGCACACAATGACCGTTATCAGCGGCCACCATCTGCAAATGTAATGATGGAATTCAAAGTTTATTAAGGATGTGCACAGTGTTCTTCCTACGTCCGGAAGACCCCGTAAAAAGGAAATCGCGCCAAATGGTTTTTTGAGTTTCACCGGGCTTAAACTTATAGGTATATTTAGAGAAAACGCAGAGAAAATTGAAATGCCAGGGGTACAGTTTTATTCAGCCCTCTTTAAATTTTCACAGGAATCGCTCGTCTCAGACATATATATATATAGGTGGTTGCCTGTTCGTGACCCCTATCGCCCATACGAAGCTTGTTTGCTTCGGGAAGCCAATGGATCGGTGTGCGCCCATTCCTGAGTGACTATATATATATATATAGCAGCGAGGAGGGACGACAGAGAATGCGGGTAGATTGATACAGCACTGTTTCGGGCTTATTCTGCCTTCATTCAGCCAATCATAACCCTGACCACTAGCAGCTGGGACCAGAAACACAAACATGCGCACAGACGCACCTGGCGCAGTCGGTCCACCACTGAGGCCTACCAGATGGGTCATAAGCACTTCATCGAACCGAAGTTCATCAGTGCCTCGCCACCTGTCATTCTCTGTCGCTGCAGATCGGGTATTTATCAATCAGGAATGGGCGCATGTTTGTGCGCATGTCTGTGCGCATGTTTGTGTTTCTGGTCCCAGCTGCTGGTGGTCAGGGTTATGATTGGCTGAATGAAGGCAGAATAAGCCCGAAACAGTGCTGTATCAATCTACCCGCATTCTCTGTCGTCCCTCCTCGCTGCTATTATGACTTGGCCGACTTCGGCCTGGTAATTGGTTGCCTGTTCGTGACCTTTGCCACACATACGGAGCTTGTTTGCTTTGTGAAGCCAATAGATCGGTGTGCGCCCATTCCTGATTGATATATATATATATATATATATATATAATGACTGCCGACAAAGACAAAGGAGAATATATTGTCCATTTCTGATGCGCTAGCCGTCATCAGCCAGTCATACCCAACGCCGAAGTGTGTAACACCCGGGGCTCGAACTCGCCAACTGTTTGTTAAAAATCCACGCCTCTAACCACTGGGCAACGAGCCCGTTACCCTGTCGGTTTCTGATCGGGAGTGGTAAGGAGCACTCACCGATTGTTCTTACGGAACTCACTCGTTCCGTTGTGCCTTATGGGCTCTTTCTCGAGCCCAATCAGCAGCCGCACAGCGGCGCATGATATATAGGCAGAATGGTATTACCGACAAAGACAATGGAGACTGGAATGGCCATTTCTGGCTTATTAGCCGTCGTCAGCCAGCTTCCTGGTATGTACTTCAGTTTTCAGCTTTAGTATTTATAAGAACTTTCGAACCCAGACTAAAAATTTTGCTCAGAAAGAGCTGCTCCATGTAATGGTATTTATTTCTTAAGAAACAAAAAGGTTGAGCACTTAAAACTGGAGTACAAATTAGAAAGTACCTGGGGGACGCTGTGAGGATCACCCATACGCCGAATCCGTAACTGCGTTATGCAGCGACGTAAATCCGGTGGAATACGTGTCTGGGCTTTTACGTAGTAAATTCCCTGTCAGTATGTTTAATCATGCGGTGTGTGCATACTACTGCCTGACTGTAGGCAGTCTGTAATAATTATACAATAGGGAGCAGTTCTTTACAGGGGAATTTTCGTCTGGACTTGCTCACCGATTTTACTAATGCAAATGACCACCACAATCCAATTCGATTAGGAAAGCAAGGCAATCGGCTTGAAACGTAAGCAGTCGATCTTAAAAAGTCGCGAACAATAGGTAAACCTTTGGTTTCTGTCCGTGTGCAATCTCCAACTAAAATTCGTTCATTAGGCTTGAGCAGTCTCCCGATATATCAGTCATATAGACTAGGAAAGGCATGAAGGTCGGCTTGTACTTTTGTGACCTCGTTGCTCCCACAAGAATTCGCATGTATTCACCTAAAACTAGGCTATCCACTGTTTGCAAAAAGCCTTTGCATCTTCTGAAGGTTGGGTCGTGGTCATTGAATTTGCTTTACGGTACATGAACCTGAAACATAATATTCTGTCAGGTATATATTTGTGTTGAGTTGTTTGGTTTTTATGGAAGTCTGAAGAAATGGAATTAGCAATTGTTGCCCTTCAGATGACACTTTCGATTTGCTCATCATTATTTCTGAAAACCAACAGTATACAAATATCAAATGATAGTTCATTCCTTCTCACACCGTTAACTCAATGTCCAGAAGAACTAGATTCAGGCGGTAGGTGAATTCTTCAGTCGTTTTACGCCTAAAGGTTACAAACTTGTCGACTGTAGTCAAAAGTCGGTGCCTCCAGTCGTTGTGACGCCGTTTCACTGACGAGGTAAGACAAAGGCAGACTTATCGATGCATCTTTTATACTTCAATACACAGTTCCACGAAATATTTGGGAAGGATAACGATGGTGTAATCTCAGATTACTATCGAGTTCACTCTAGCGTTCATCCAGCAAGACTCGTGCGGGTTTGACAGATTGGAGCTTCGGAGTCAAGTTAAACGGCAACATCCTCCAGATAGAAATTTGGCAAAAGTCAACTAAAATCTTTCGGTAAACTGTCAGACAGAAAGTATGATCAAAGGAGAACTAAAGTACTGTTAAGCATAAACTAAAATTTTCACTCATTTCATATGCTGTGATCTACTGGCTTTCTTGTATAAACATTTGAAGTCCCTGGTCGCAACTCCACTTAGAAAATGTCGTCCGGTGTCCAGAAACCACATAGACACTTAATTTTCCAGGTAAAAAGCAGTATTTTTGTTGTTAAAGATCACGGTGAAGGCGAAATCTAACTAAGAGAAGTCTTTTGTTCTAGAGCTGACTCCATTTGCAAACATACAAATTTCTAATGGAGTAATCTATCATCTGGACTATTATAGGACCGCTGGTGGTGAGGTAAAGGTCGGTGTTTATTTCTTTTGACTCGCAAGACGGCATTTATATCATATGAGTGATTCTTCCGCTGGATTGTGTGGCGACCTCTTGTATGCAGAATTTGCAAATTGCGCATTTCTACTGGCAAAATTGAGCAGGCCATCTCTTCCCAATTTGAAAGGCGACTTGCCCTAATGCCCAGGCGACTGCTTTCAAATACGCTTAACACCATCTGGACCAGAAACATAAGATTAGGAACCACACATATACAAAACACGAATGCTGCACAGCATAGGATGTGTGAGAGGCTGCACACACTCCTTCTCAAACTGAATATCACCAGTGTCTTGCCACGTAAGGCTCTCTGTCGGTGCAGATCGGCTATATATGCGTACACGAATAGGTACACATTCATAGGCTTCCCGAAGTCTATCCGCTCTGATTCGAAAGTCGGCGAATTGACGAGTGTCCATTTCCATGTCATATTTAGGTACTTTGGTCTAGAACTCACAGGTTTCGTGGGATATCACACATTAGAATATACTTAACAAGACTATCTGACTTTTCGAATGCTTTCAAAGCGACATATATTCTTCTTTCCAATGTTGGACTTGAGGATATAATTTCTTAAACAAAAGCTCCGATAATTTACTGTGTTGCCTCATTTCTTCCAAAAATATACCATAAGCATATGAATCCCAAAGTTTTGATGGAGTATGCACACTATTCAATAGCGGTTGTTGCCAATGAGATAGATACTAGTGTTTGGAAAGATTTTTAAGCAAAAATCAGTATGACAATTAATAACAGATAACCTAACATGACTTTCTATATTTCCAGGTATTATAACCGAATCAAAATAATTAGTTTCGTATGGTGGCTTTTTAAGGAATCCAGTCGAATAAAATTTAAGAAACTAAGCTTTCATGTTTCCAGCTATTATAACAACACCAAGGGCCGTAATTTGCATTAGAAAGTTCAACAGAATACACCTGTGGATATTGAACAAGAGATTTTTAAGGTCATTCGGGAGTAAACATCGGCTTAAACGACTAAATAAGGCCATAAACTGGCACTTTGCTCTAAGTTTTTTATTTATATGAGATGATTGGGGGGAGGTAAACGTCTAACTTGTGCCTAGAATAAGCTGCTTGTGCTAGTTGAGTACGACAACTGGAACGCTGAGATTGCTGAGGGTGGGTAGAACTGCAGCGTACGTGGCTCGTTTGTTTCAACGTGGACCTGGATTCCCGTCTGTCTAGTGTAGAAGTCGTCATACTCTTAGCTCTCAATGGCGGCAGTAAACGCTCCAGATTTTTCCATGCGTCCGGTAGCTGTGTCACACCCATGTGCTCTCCATCAACGCCGCCGTCAACAAGCACGTATTTTTTCCTCCGTTGTGCACATTTTCCATCCAAGATCAGATAATATTGCATATTTCATGTGTATGCTACTAGTACTAACGAAAATGAAGTGCGCAACAGCTTGTTATGCATCGACGAGTTAAATGCAGCGTGTGGCGAGATTAACGAATGATCAAACGAGGACCTTAAACGCATTTCCGACAAAAAGGGCAATCTGTGTCAAGTCGAAACATTGACAGCCATCTGATAATTTTGTAGAGATAAATTTCACTTGCATGCCTGCTTCACTTGAGCGACAAATCATATAACACAGAGATATTACTATTACTTAAAAGGACCCAACGCAATTTAATGACTTATGGTAGCAGTATAAGAAATTTCTTGATCAGGACCGTTAGCATTCGAATAAGGGACGTAGATATACTTGAAAAATGCGAATTATACACTTTTAAGAAGTCTATTGTAAGTTCTGTTTTAAATAAAAATAGTTTGAAAGAGACGCCAATTATTATAAGACATGTATCTCAATATGATACGGCAACCAGAACGGCGTCTCCTAGTGACATTAAGAGAAAACAGTATTCTTATTTAAAGAAAATAAAATTCAAGTAAGAAGTCCAGTCGGCAAACTCATGTACGCTTTCGATTATTCATCATGAGACCTGTACAGTAATAGAAAGAGCGATCCCATCGCTACGCCGTCCATTTGGCGGTAAAATTGGCCATCCAATCTGAATTGTACATTTGGTGTGTTGCGAAAGAGCAATTCCTGTAGGTCTCCGACCGGGATTCTGACTAAGAAATCCAGCCTCACAATCTCAGCGCATAAAAATTATTTGGTTTCAGTAATAGGAATGTTCATGAACAAAGACGTAACGTCCAATTCAGATTGGATGACCAATTTTACCGCCAAATCAACGGCGTAGCGATGGGATCACTCTCTGAACCACTAATAACTGATGTATTCTTGGAAAAACTAAAGAAAACCTAGCTGTCTCTAATGATAAAGGACCTTTATTCCTATGCCCAATATGTTGATGTCATTTTCGTAAAAACGGATGAAACGCTTAATTGGAACAGCTCCCTATATAAAGTGAATCAGGCTCACCCAGCCTTAACCTTCATCTTGGAAAAAGAGAACAGAGAGTGCCTACCCTTTCTTGATGTTCTACTTAATCGAATGTCGGATGAAACATTAAGCAGAAGTGCATCTCACAAGAAAAATGGGCAGGGGAGTGCACGAATTTTTACAGTTTTAGCCCGCTCAACCAGAAACAAAACTTAGTGCGCTGCCTTATCAAGCGAACTAGGAGAATCTGCACACCAGATAGGCTTGAGACTGTACTCGTCAACCTACGAAACAGTCTGAGAGAAAACGACTACCCTGAAAAGTTTGTCAATAAATACATGGAAGAATGCTCTCAAAAATCTAATGTGCAGACGGCTGAGAAGGAATTATTTATCATACTGCAATTTCAAGGGGATCCGGTAAGCGAATTCCTACATCGTCGCTTAAATGCTGCTGTCGTGCGCACTCATCCAGCCGCTAAGATAAGATTGCTTTTCGCAAGCTCTCCGTTTCTTCGCCTTAAAGGCAAGGACAGACTGACTTTTCAGACCTCTTTAATGTGCATCTACGTCTTCACTTGCTCTTGTGGGACAGGTTATATTGGTCGAACAACTAGGCGTTTATCCAAGAGGATGCGAGAGCACCATCCCGCCTGGCTAAGCCAAGGTGGGGAAAAGTCCATCTATAGCGCAATTGTGGCTTACTTGGTTGACAGCGGCTACAGGGTAGAGGTCAATCAAGCATTCCGAGTCATCTACAAAGTATCGGCGGGACACTCCAACTTCCTGAGTCAGCGAATACTTGCGACCGCAGAGGCATTGGCTTTACGATCTCCACTTTGTCCCTGCATTCCTACTGGAATTTCTTCTTTTACCTAGATATCATTTATACTCAATCTCATATATGCAAGTGTACGGACGCACTGGTGGTTTTTCAAAAACGACGGTTAATAATTAGCCTCTGCAAGCATGTTGCCAACATATACGTCCCCCTCGTTTTCAAATGCCTCTGTATGTTCTGTCTGTTCTATCTGAAATACCTCGCAAGAATTCCATTTTTAATATCGCTCTATGGTAAAGGAAACACTTCGCATGTTGTATAAAAAATACAGATAAATGAGATTTTAGAAAATTCCGCAAATTTCACAACTTGAAATTTGGTTGCGTCTGAATGTAAGTGGGGACGGCATGTTGCCTGATGTGAATTTGGCCTCAGCTGATTTTCACAATCTTCTAAAATTTTATGTAACTTAACGTCTACATGCGGCTGAATACGACTATGCTTCATAAGAAGACCTAAAAATCTGCAAGCGTTGATAAGATCTCTTCACCAAGGCATTTCGAAACGTCTTTGAATCACCCTATTCCATTGTTGTGGCAGCTACTTTTTGAAAGTTTAGGTTCCCAAAAAACTCTCTTTGAAGCAGCAAGAGTTCTAAAAAGTCATTTTTGTAAATTATTTTTGGGGACATAGTTAACTTAGCATATACCTGAGAACATGAGAATGGTCGCACTAGCGTACGGTATTCATTGAGACTAAAAGTTCAGTAGCTCGCAGCATATAATTTCACCTAGAATTGTTTAGCGTACCTTATTATCTACTGCAACTAAGTCATAATCGATGTTTCCTGAATATCGACATAAACTTTTGGTCATTTCTTCAATCCTATAGAAATAAGAATCCGTGGACGTCATGCGAAATCGCTTTCAGTTTGGCTGGTCGACTTCCATTAGTCGACTTTTTGGGCTTTTAACCAATAAAACGCAGGGTTTTAAATGAAAGGAGCAGAAATTTACGTCTTTTTTATTGTCCGATAATGGCTACTGCGAAGCAAAGCAGACGTAATTGTGCACCTTGCCTCAATTTATAAATTTTCATTTTTATCTGTTGCTCGGTTACTATTATATTTTCCCTAACTTCGGTAATTACTTGCTCACGCATAGGCAGTTTATCTTTTTTAACTTGAAAATCGTCCTACAAACTGGTTTATTGCTAGTCAAACAAACTCCTGTGCGTATTCAGTAAGGAAGATTGGAATTTCTATTTCGACCCAAACTTATACTATTACGAAGACGGTAAGTATACTTTTGCCGGCAAAAATTCGAAGTAACAGTGAGCGACCGATCTCATGAAATGTTGGCTGAAATTCTGAAATACATCTTCGATTAGGAAGGATTACTTGGTCGCGGTTGTAATACTGACTATCATACGGCATATTTTTATAACATTTGGACTCGACAGGATGTCAGCTTTTGAATGCACTGCTCGTCAATCTGCTGCAGGAACCGTGCTGGTTAAAAATTGACTACTTAAGTGGCATGCGTTTTTCCCCTTTGATTTTCGATGGTCTTGCATATTCAAATATTTCTTATAGAAACCATAAACCATACATGCTTTCGTTCAGTCAGTTAACAGAAAATCACGTTTCCTTTATATTTTATACTCAAGGAAGGAATATAATTAGGTTTTAAAATTGTTTCTAATTATGAGATTTTTTAAGACCGCGCAATGCCCATTAACATAGCATAATACCTGTTCGTTTACCACTACTCCTCATGAAATGTACAACATAGTCCGCATCCATTGCAAAATTTTGTGGACACTGTATGTCGTCTTTTTAATGGCATAGAAGAGTATGTGCTTTTCTGTACGCGGAACGCATGCACCTTGTAGACTGAAATAGTTAAGGGCCAATGCAACGAATGATCAGGCTCCAAATTATATGGCAATTAGAAAACTTTTTTAAAACCTAATTATATTCCTTCCTTGAGTATAAAATATAAAGAAAACGTGATTCTCTATTAATTGGCTGAAGGAAAGCACGTTTTGTTTATGGTTTCTATAAGAAATATTTGAATATGCAAGACCATCGAAAATCAAAGGAAAAAACGCATGCCACTTAAGTAGTCAATTTTTAATTAGCACGGTTCCTGCAGCCGATTGACGAGCAGTGTATGCAAAAGCTGACATTCTGCCGAGTCGGAAACGTTATAAGATTATGCCGTATGATAATCAGTATTACAACCGCGACCAAGTAATCCTTCCTAATCGAAGATGTATTTCAGAATTTCAGCCAACATTTCATGAGATAGGTCACTCACTGTAATCTTGTCCAGCAAAATATTTGTTTGGCCTTAGCGTCCATACTTTTCGTTAAGGTGCAGAAAATTAAAGAACATTTTACAGGGATCAACGGAAAGCAATAATCTTACCTTCTTTCATAACAGCATTTATTGTTGTTTGTTCCGCAACAACTTGTGGAGTACCAAAATCCGCTTTTTGATTCACATTTGTTACCTCCTGCAAAATTCCCAAAAAGCAAATGTTACTCAATTACACCTCCCACAAGAACAAATCAATGGACAATAATGCCAGTGCTTTTTGAGAGCCTTACGGCTGACGACGCTCACGTCCCAACTTTTACACCCTATTCGTGTTAGAACAAGCGAAAGGAAATTAATTACGCGTACTTCTGGCTGTTGACCTGTCACTGTTAGCAGTCCCCAGAGTACTGAATTATTAGTCACGAAATGATTTGATGACTCGTCGCGTTCTCTATCCATTCAGCACGCGTATATTGCTCGAGCAAGAGAACCGGTTGGCATCGGCAACATTTTGCAACCTCAGGGCCAGCTTACAATGCGTTTGATACAAACCGAATGTGCTCTGATGACTCACCACGCAGGCATCATTGTTTTGGCAGGTTTCAGGTCGCTCATTTCCTCCGACTGTTGCTAGCGCAGAGGCAAGTCGGTGCAAGGTGACGCCCCCTGTCAGCCAGGCACTGTTGTTGCGCCAACTGTAGGACCATTGTAGGGCCACAAAACCTCAGGCACTCTGACGCAATTTACTTTGAGAAACGCGACTATCTTTCACCGCTACATACAAACCTACGCTGATAACAGGCTTGGCAGGAAATGCTAAAACCAAATAAGGTTGTAGCAGCGCAGGAAATCCTCATGTGATTTTACCAAGAACGTTAAAATTGTAGTCCAATAGGTTTTGCCCTGAATTTTTTAGCCATATAGCTAAGTTGTCGATAAGGCATCCAAAATCTACGAGCTGAGTTTGAGGTACAAAGCATCTGTTACAAGAAACCCGATGATTTCTCATTTTATTGAAGATAGTGTCGAATTATCTTAACTTTTGGTAAAGGAGAAAACATGAAGCCTACGAGCGATTCGCGCCTATTTGTCTAAATAACAGAACATCGCTAATAAGAAGGTTTTGCCTCTGTGATATCGGAAAGGGTCTGTTTAGATGAGATTCGCTTGTGCCCATTATCAGAGCTGCGATTTACTAATTGATATCTGGATGTTAATTCAAATTATGACATTGCTAGATTTACAAAGTCTTCTTGCACTTCAAGCAGGTACCTAGTGATTAAGTAAACCCCTTTATCATTTAGCACTAGGAAAATAGCCGTATTTGCTACTGCGGTGATCATGGACCATGGTGTAGTGTAACATTTCAGCTTAGCTCCCACAACCCTCTACGTCATCCGTCGCCACCGAAAGCGTACAAAAAGATGAGGACTTCGTATGTTTTAGTTTTTCATAAAGTAATACGTCATTTATTTGGAAGGAAATCTTTGGCGAGATCAATCTTTTGTCAAAGCAAACAGTAGTCAGCCTCAATTGGGTAAACTCTTTGCTAAATAATAATTGGATTGTTAAACCGGGTGAATGGAGTTTCTGTGTAAACTTTGTTTTCCAAGGGTAGGAATGAAAATCAAAGAGCAAAATGTAGGAGGAAATACGCCATCCAACATAATAAATTGTCATGGACTTCCGTCTTTCTTAACTAATGTTCTCTCAAAGTAATATATCAACTTTTGTGTCTCCTACAAGAACGCACATCAATATTTCAATCCTTAAATATATGCTACAAGACTAAAATCCCACAGGCTGTTTATTTCCGCAAAAATAAAAGAACAAATAAAAAGTAAAAGTACTATTTAAACAACCGCTTCTGCTCAAAGAACGACTGGTCTGCGAACCATCAAATGCTAATCCATGGAATCCATCCTTAAAAATGTAAGTACCCAGATATTACAGTGTAAGCGTCTTGTCCGCGGTCCGACAGTTTGACCATCTTACGCGATGATGTCTCCGTGTGCCCCACGGCAAGGTTGGCGCAGGAACGGTACTTTCCACGTGAATTAGTTTGTGGCTTGTTGCATTTACCTTCCAATTCGTTTTTACGCTCTCTCTTACTGATGTTAAGTTTGTCCAATAATTATGTGCTATTTGACTCGCGATTTAGAAATCCTTGTTTGTCAACTGTCGCACCTCGGCAAATTTATAGTGATGCTTGAAGTGTGCGGCGTGTACCACAATCTTTACTTCCTCGCCCACCTGAGTCCGGCATCGAGACAGAGTCAGGGAGTCCGGAGTTGTGCACGGAAGCAGCGACTGGCAAGACTAAACAGCCTGTCTTCGCGTGCCAAACACGCTTGCTCCGTTCAAAAAGGATCAGGGTTCCGCAGTAACAAGGGGATCCTGGATCCCAACTGCCAGAGAGTGCCATAGATGCAACATTCGGGTAGGGCTGTTGCAGCCCGACTCTTTGTCCGGAGAAGAGGTCCTAGTTATCCTGCCAATTTGCAGCCTTCCAAGCCACAAATCTGACCGCACTGTGAAAGTTTAAAAGAGCGTCAGATTGCTTATGGTGAGTAAAATGCGCAATGACGTCGACCTAACTCTCTATATCCGTTCTCAGTCCTGAGCTCTGAAATATTGTAGGAAAGAGGTCTCCAGAGTCGACCTTATTCTTTACTCTCCCTGGCACAATTTCTTTGTCTTAGCCAGTTTTTCCTGGTCAGTTTGGGTGCTGTGTCTGGCGCATCACAAAGCCTTTGCCTGGGCGTATTATCACATCCCACATGTACGGCAGTGGTTATGGGCTCTTGCAGATTGTACGGAGTCCGGTTAACGCGTATCGTGAGCCTAACAGACCACTGCTGTGCTCCAGCACGTCAACCGTGCGGTCCGTTACGGAGGCCACATGTCACACTAATGAGCGCAACTCAAACGGCCCACATACATGGGCAGAAAGCGTACGTAGATATTTGGAGATCCCTTCCCACGGCAGATCAGCGCATTGTCCACTACATAGTTCGACCGTCGATTCCAGCAATGTCCACCGGGTTCTACACCGAAAAGTGCAGCGGTCACAATGATTTGCACGTGAATTAGCTTATAATGACGGTAGACTTGCGACGCATCTACTGCACTCCCTCTTCATCATTTCCAACCTGGAGCCGGTGTCGAGACAGAATCAAGAAGACCAAGGACAGGGGAGGTCGCAGGTGGCTGGCGCGGCCGGACCCGCACCTAGGCGTGCCGCCACACCATCTGATTCAAAAAATACACTTGACCAGGACTTTCTATCAACAACGACAACAAAAACAACACCCCAACGGGGGTCAGAAGAACGAGGATGACTGGGCAGCCATGGCCATCACCTGCATACCCAGCGGGAGCGCAAGCGTATTTACCGGTAGGGAACCAGGTGTTAGGGAACTGCCAGCGCATACCAGGATTGGAAGGCCATGGTTTGTTGATACTGGCATACCACACGCTTTCAGAACTTCTTACCTCCATTCTCCACTACAATAAATCTGACTCACATGAATCTTCCAAGTTTCGTTAGTATTCCTAACTTGAAAGGTAACCAGTCGGTGCTTTAACTTGATCTTGCATAAAGCTGATGGCCAGACTGTAATGATTCATAATGGAAGCCTTTGTAACACATTTTTGGACGAACTCCGAGGACCTTATTTCCGAAGGAAGCTTGTTACTTGTGCAGTTGGGACTAGACGTAGCACTCGTAGACGTGTAGTTTAGATTTTATGATCACTATAACCGAGCCCAATCTTGGTCGTCATACTATGGGGCATAATGAGAATGCGCGAAGTGATTAGGTCAGCTGCAGCACGCATTCGCGCATAAACTGCTGCTGCTGCTGCTGTTGTGTCAACGTTTTGGGGAAGTGGTGGATGCTGTTGTCCGCAACGGCGTCATCTAAATCGTTGTCGATACTACTGGTATCAAGAATTACCAAAGCTGACCAAAGGCGGTTATTTCGCAGTATGAATATGCATCTCAATTGCTGACTTTCGAATGTATCTAAGTGTTTCGATAAAAGCAAAATACAGGCTAATATTGTCATTCTTAGAGTAAATTTAAAAACTCACATCTTAGTTTAAATATCCATTTAATAGGGCTATTGCAGATGCAAAGATATACGGCCTGTTTAGATGGCTTAAGCAAATGACTAAGATGCAGGCTTTGAGAACAGTCGGATTTATTTGTTTGCCCTTGCATTAAATAGGTATTGAAAATGCTTTAACTACCTCGGGGGCAGCATTTTTTCCCGACACAGTTGAAAAGGCGAGGTCTAAATCTACTGAATCTTAGGGCGGTTGCACCGGGGTTTGTCCTCTCAGTGAAACTTCAATGAACAAACATAAAAAATTAATGCGGGGAGGTTGCCCACCGATAAAGCTGCGGTACATGATCCCCTCTTATGACTTAGAGCTCAGTCTATAGTCCTTACTTTCATTCGCATAGCGGCAAGATACTATGCATGACAAATACCGACAAGGGTAAAAGACTAGATTAGCAATCTCTGACTAAGGAATTACCTCCAGTTTGCCGTTGTCCAACACCGGGTTTGGGTGTCCCGGAGACCGAACTCGAACTTTTTTTAGTGATAATTAGGTTGTAACTGCCAAATAGAAGCACTCTTATCAAACTAACTGGGGAAAATCAAGGCAGTTTTGAATTACTGTTTTGGTTAATCACTTGATTGTTATGTAAACATTAACCCTTTAGATGCATTCAGTAGATCGATTTTTCTCGAGGTAATACACAAAGTAGAACTAGTGTTCCTTAACAAAAGAATTTATAAACAAGATTGCAGAAGGTAGCGTATATTGTTAAACTCAGCTAAAATTTTGGAATTTGTTTCCATCTTAAAGGGGTTACTTAGGAGTGGTTTTAATAATGATGATTATGCGGCAAAGTCGTATGATAAATCATTTACGCCAACATGACAACTTTTGAGTGCTCTATTTTTCGGTCGCCTGCAGAAAATCACGTCGGATTATAAAATAACCACTTAAGCATTAAGACGTTTTCCGTTGATTTTATATTCCCTAACATATATAAAAATATTTTTATAAAAATGCACAAAAACATCGTTTCTCATAGTCATATGTTAGCAATTAGCGTTTTATTTAAATTATTATCCAAAGAAACGGTATATTTCAGAGTAAAAGTTTGTAATAATATAACTTTTAGGATTCTGAAATGTCCATTAAAATATTGCCGTGTATTTCAGTTTACAGTTACCTTCTATTGATTGAAACATTTCAGGATCATAAACGGACGTATGATTTTCCCTACGCGGAAAGTGCACAGTCTGTAGTTTGAGAGCTTTATGGTTTAAAATATTCCAGGAATGGGATTTTTTAAAACTTAAGGATAACCTTTCCTAGAAAATGAATTTGTAAGAAGACGTAGCCTACTACAGTATGAATATCAGGAACCATACTTCCTCACATTCTCCATAAGGTGTGTCCGAGTATATATAGACATGAAAAATCATCAGAAAACATGCACACTACGTACGCAGTCATTTTTAACTGAATGTGGGCTGAAAGAGGCGCATTAAAGAGCCAGCGTCCCCACATGACAACAACGTCACGATTTTACGCCACAAGTTCATCATTATTACAATTCCACGTAAGAAATCTTTCTTTAATGAGAACGCGTTTCGGAATTGCCGCTGATATTTCATGAGTTACGCCACCCAGTTCACGTTCCAGAGTCACTTCAAATAAGCCTTCAAAAATCTTAAATTTTTATTCAGCGCCCGTCTATGCTTCATCTAGACAAACGATAGCGTCTTCAGCATCTAAAAACTACCCCTACACACCATATACCAACAAGGCGACGAACGCCTAAATCGTCAAATTTACCGACCTATTTTGCTCTTAACAAGTACATTATATATTTAGATTAAAAACCTGTTTTCCCTTTACTAGGTTCTGGTAAAAACACTTTTTCCTGATGCAGTTATTAAGTAAACCTTTAAAAGGACACGTTTTCACGAGTCTAAATAATCATACGCAGAGCTCAAATGGCGTCTCTAACTATATCTGTCGGTGGCACAGTGTGTAAGCAAAAATAAGGTATTCCAGTTTTTTAGAGAAAAGAACAAATATTCATACCACATTTTAAAGCTTCGACGAAGAGAACACAGACCAGCAGATTCAGGCAGATTACGCTGACATAACCTCTCATATTCGCAAAGACAAGGCTCTCTTCAGTGATGCAAACGTTAAAAATTCCTTCAATGCCATGCAAAAGAGACCTTGTCGATCGACCACCCCGATTGGTTTGTTACTAGCCAATGACTACTAGCTCTGTGCTAGCACAGACGACACCGACCTGTATATCGCCCTAGTCTATGAGTTTAAATGTCACTCTTGATGAAACTAATAGATATCGCCCAAGTGCATGTAAAAGTCTGCACCCTCGGGAAATTGATTGTTCCCCTTTTGATTGCATGTGTGACTATTACATTCTGCACATACTTAATGAGCTAAGAGTACTAAATACACAATTCATGTCGTGTGAGCGAGCTGAGTAAGTAAGAAACAATGAGTATGTGGTCATTTTAGCATGCTGTTCGATTCGGGGAAATTGTTAACCGCAATACAAAGTCCATTACTGAAATATCATTTTCTTGGCCTCTATTTCATTTCCTTTATCGAAAATTTCATTTTCCTTACAAGCTGTAATTATGATATGATCTCCAAGATCACCCAACCCTCTCATCTGGCTGACATTTGTAGCAATTGGCCAGGCTCTTTTAAAAAGTGCAAACAGTTTTTCTATAGTTATCGCAATAACCGTGTAAGAATTAGCGTAGGTCAGTTCTAACTTCATGGGAAAAGTTGGATGACGTTAGACATCCTAAAAAGTTGAAACTTTGACAACTCAACCAAAAATAAAATTTCGCTGTTTATGTGTCCCCAAATTTAATAGAATCGTCTTGCTTGTTCTCAGTTTTACCCAATTTTAAGTCCCTCCATTATATTATGCAATATTCCGTAAGACTGTAACACAGAAGTTGGGGTCACTGCATATCCGGTCAGGTTTAGATGCAGTTATTGCAGAACTTGAAAGTCAACCCATTGATTTAGCCGATTCTGGCTCCAGACTTAGGGTGCTGAATGTTTGTCCGGTATTACAGTTATTGCTCTGAGGGAATGTGAATAAGCTCTAAATGACCTTCTGGAACATAAAGTACTCATTCTTGCTGTGCTGAGTCGGCAGTAAGCATTTTTATAACACGGTGTAGAAGTAAGTAAACCATAATCCATTATATCATAAGAAGACTCACCAACATGAAATTTTTCAAGCAGATACACAGCATTCCAAAGTACAGCGAGAATGTTACAATTAGGGTTTATCGCTCATTGCTGGCTGATTTCAACAGTGAATGAAAAGTAGATGGGATCCGCGTTGTGCTGCAGTATGGCACGACTAGTCTTACTCTCAACATCAGGCGACATGAAGTTGTGAATAATCCTTGACCATGTCCACCGGAAGGGAGATATTGACCTCCACATGAAACCACACATTGGCAAACTTCATGCGGCACTGATCTTCTTTAAGCGTACCTTGTAAAGGCATGTTCGTCGGAGCTTTATGTCTTCCACTTTCTCCCCACCAGTTGCGCTATTGCCGTGCAAACGCTTTTACTCTCAGGAATAAATTTACCGAATTTAACCAACTTTAATAAATACTTACCCTCATGTGGTGGATATCAATGAAACCTGAACTGGTGGGATCATTTAAGACTCCGAAATCTATTTTATTTATTTTATGCCGTTTTCAAACAGCAGTAAGTCTTCCGGTGTGATGGTGGCGGTGACGGTGAAGACAAGTGTTGAAAAAATTTGGCAAGGAAGTTATCTATTTTACACCGTCGCACGCCCTCTAAGAGGAAGGGCTCCCATTCTTATCTACCTTACTTTTGACTTTTTGGTCATTGACCTGATTGTCGATGCGCATTTATCAAGCAGAACCAACATGCTTGCGCTGGAGCCCTCTTGAATATGACCCGGCGCTTACCAAATCTTGCTACCTTGAAGGTTTCTAAAGTCGAGTTATCGCAGCAGATGTTCGGGATAGATATCATAATGATCAGTGACATAGTTCTCACGGGACTAGTTTGCACGAATAATTCTGCAATGATACCCATATAAACACAAAAAATCAAGTTCGGCGAACGTATGTTTACGATTATTCATTCTGAGCCCTGTGCAATAGTATAAGTTAGGGTGGATAAGCGAAAATAAAGACAGTCAATGAGCAGTAGCTATTAGGGAAAAGGTTTAAGACGTTCCGGCAAGTCGCTTCTGCCAGGGCATAGGGGAGGGAGAAGGGAGAAGGAGGGAGGAGTCTGGCGGCAAACTATGCTTAAGTTTCTTCACTGTAGCGCGACGTGGCAGGATGCGGGAACAAATATACTGGGATCATCTTGGAATAAGGGAGTTTGAAGGCTTGTATGAACGCCTTCTGAGAGCACAAAGTTGGGTTAGTTAACCGTATAACTACTACCTCTCCCGTCACATGTATCCGCCGACACTTCCTAGATGACTCAAAATGCTTGTTTGACGCCTACCCAGTGGCGTCTGTCAACCATGTAAACTACAATTGTGCTAGAGGTCAACATTTCAGGCCTTCATTTATCCAGGCACGATGATGCTCTGGCATCCACCCGTAGAGGTGCCTAGTCCTTCTACCAGTAAAGCCTGCCACACGGCAGCAAAAGGAGGCGGGCATACACATCAAATCAGTCTACAGGCGCAGCCTATCCCTGCCATCAAGGCAAAGAAGCGAAGTGCTGGAGAACATGAGTCTTAACTTGGCGACTGTGCATGTGCGCACGGCATTGCGGAAGTTCACTTGCCGGATCTTCTCTAAATGGCAGTGAGAGAAATTGCTTCTTCTTCTTCTTCTTCTTCTTCTTCTTCTTCTTCTTCTTCTTCTTCTTCATCTCAACCTTCGACACGTCCGTCTTTGGGGACGTTTCTTGCAGAGCGTGCTCTATAACGGTTAGTTCGGTCTGCAGTATATCTGGGGTGCATATTTTCTTAGTTCGGTTGGTTGAACAGCTGACCAGGCTTCGTTTTCGTTTCGTCTAATAATTTAAATATTGCCTTGTCCATGTTTTCTCATGAAATATACTCCAACAAATTGTTCTATTAGGTGTTTTACCAATCAGGACGTCTAGAAAAGGGGGCACTCTCACTTGTCTCTTTCCAAAGTAAAATGTTATTGCAGTGTAAGCACGATTAACTGCATCCAGGAGGGTGTCCAAATCAGTCTTATCATTGGCTATTACGAAAAGGCCATCAACATAACGAACATAGGAATCAAGGTCCTCAATAATTGGACAGAGCTCGTTCTCTAGTTTCCCCGTTCAAGGGAAGATTCAATTGCCATTCGGTCGATTTCATGAAAGAATTTACCATCGAATCTGAATTGAACATTCGACCTGCAGCTCCTTATGTCTGTGACCGGAATGCCGATTGGGAAATTGTGCTTGACAACCTCGTCACACACATTCTATCGTTTCCGTGTGGAAAAATACTAAGGAACAAGAACGGCTAACCTAAGGACAGCATCCTTTTCCCATGGAGATTTGCATGTCCTACGAAATCGATGAAGTCAAAAACGTATCGTTGGCTATGTGATGTTATTTTGTGTCAAATTGAATTAAGTCTTTCTGCCAGCCACTTCGAAGTTGTGTGATAAAGGCGAACTGCACATGTCTAAAATCGCCTGCATGGGAAAGTCCGGTTTGGGCATTTATGTTAATCCATATAGCCCGGGAATTATGCCAGTGGGTATAAACTATTTAAGTCCTTGTTCGCAAAGGAAGCCTTGGTCTTACAGTTTTTAAACACATTTCGTAAGTTTGAGTACTTTGCTCTCAGTTTGGTCCTTATTTTGCCTTTTTTGAACTTAGTGTCTTCAGCCGGGATTAATTCGATTTTCGAAACATAAACGCTTTTATTCATTATGAAGAGACCAGAACATTTTCCGATTTGGTAATCAATATTTCTCTGTTTGGGCTTAATTCTATGGGCCTTTTCAGATATGCTTTTGTTATATGCTAGATCCTTAATGGTTGTGTCCCAAGGTATCGCTATCAACAAATCACGCGCGTGGATTTGAAATATTCGGCTTCCTACGACATTGTCTGTACCACGTCATGCGTCTGATATAAGAAGTTTCCAAAGTGAACTTCTTGCACTAACCTGTTTGCTATTTCACTAGAAAAACAATATTTATGGTCTAGGGGTAGCATTTCGATGAAACATTTATATATAGTTAAGCATTAGAGCTATGCTCGTAGAGTTATGGAGCATTTAAACAATTGGCCTTAACGCTGGCCAAGCTGACACTACGAAAAAGAAGCCACATTAGTTTCGGCAAAGTGAGTGCCACAACGCTGTTTTTGCCAGTGGATGCCAACATGAAGAAAAATAGATCAAAACGCATTAAGGAAATTTACAACCGCTATCGCAAGCATAAGACGTCTGTTCACTTCTTTTCAGGAAACACAGTCTGCACTTCGGCGTCATGAGTCAGTTCAGAAAGTGTACTCCAGTTTCAATAGTAGGCACGAAAGTAGCCAAAATATAGCCGTACACGCAAAAGTGACAGCATCTATAACGCGACCAATGGAAAAGTCTGCTATTCGTCCAAATGAATATTTCCATTCGACATTCTGCGTTGTCTTCACGGCGTGTGTGCCCCTCCTTCCCTAATGAGGAATGTTTTCATTACAGCACTGGAGTGAGCTAGCTCGACATGACCCGTGTAAATGTCTGCTCCGGGCTCCTTCTTTTCGGTCCTATTAATATTTACAAATCCTATTTTGACCGAACACTCACGTGACCTCTCCCTCTTCAATATTAGGCAAGGCTTCGTCTGAAAAGACAGGCGCCACGCCCTGGTCACTCCTTCAACCAAGGTGAAACTCGAAGTTGCTGGCTGATAATAAATTAGTTGGGCGGACGTCCTACGTAGGGTCACAACGAGAAATCCACGTGATTATGTGTGTGCCCTTTTCTTGATCAACGCAAGTTCTTGTGTTCAAGACAGCATAGTGGCCTCAGAGGTCTGCTGTGTCTTACCAATCCTCTGACTATGGCAGAAAGCCTATGATAGTGACGAAAATATTGAAGTTGTCTTCCTTCAGTTTGCAAATGAGCTTGACA